GTTTCCTGGATCCTGGCTCCAGATCGGCACAGCACCGGCCGTTGCGGTCGTTTGGGGAGTGAATCATCAGATGGATGGTCTTTCTCTCTTTCTTTCCTCCTCTCTGTATATCTGACTTTCCAATAAAAATAAATAAATTTTTTTTAAAAGATTTATTTATTTTTATTGGAAAGGCGGATATACACAGAGGAGAGACAGAGGAAGATCTTCCATCTGATGATTCACTCCCCAGGTGAGCAGCACAAAGGCCGATGCTATGCCAGTCCGAAGCCAGGAGCCTCTTCCAGGTCTCCCACGTGGGTGCAGGGTCCCAAAGTCTTGGGCCGTCCTCGACTGTTTTCCCAGGCCACAGGCAGGAAGCTGGATGGGAAGCAGGGCCGCCAGGATTAGAACCGGAGCCCATATGGGATCCCAGGCGTGCAAGGCGAGGACCTTAACCGCTGCGCCACCGTGCCGGGCCCAAAATAAATAAATCTTTAACAACAACAACAACGAAAAGGTGTTATGGGCCCAGTGTGGTAGGTGGAAGCTAAAGTCTTTGCCTAACACACGCAGGGATCCCATATCAGGCACCAGTTCTAATCCCAACAGCCCCACTTCCCATCCAGCTCCCTGCTTGTGGCCTGGGAAAGCAGTCAAGGATGGCCCAAAGCCTTGGGACCCTGCACCCATGTGACAGATCCGGAAGAAGCTCTGGGCTCTTGTCTTCAGATCAGCTCAGCTCCAGCCATTGCGGCCACTTGGGGAGTGAATCATCAGATGGAAGATCTTCCTCTTTGTCTCTCCCCCTCTCTGTATATCTGACTTTCCAATAAAAATAAATAAATCTTTAAAAATAAATAAAATAAAAAGGTGTTACTAAAAAAGCAAATCACAAACTATGAAAAGTATTTGCAAAGGTTAAATCTAACAAGCAACTTATATCTAGTATATAAATAACTCCTACAATGACAATAATGGAGAATACAACTCAAATTTAAAAATGGGCAAAAAAAATTAAAGTGGGCAGAAAGATTTGAACAGGCTTTACCATAGTGGTTAACATATACGGTAAACAATTAGAAGAAAAGATGCAATCACTAGCTACCAGGGAAGCACAAGGCCTACTATAAGACTCAGCTAAAATGTGAGATTGGAACTCTCAAACACTGATAGAAAAAGTTCAACAGTTCAGAAGAAGTTCATAAGTTCATAAAAAGTGCATAAGAAGCAAAAATCTCCCCTATAAGATAAGCTAGTTTAGTGGCTAAGCTACCACGCACGAAGCCTGATATCCCACATCGAAGGGCTTGGGTTCAAGGCTCAGTTCCAGCTCCTGACTTCAGCACCCTGCTAATGTAGACCATGCAAAGTAACAGATGGCTAGAAGTCACTGGGTTCTTAACACTTGCGCGGAAGTCCTGGCCTGCGTTCCTGACTTTGGCCCAGCCTACCTGTGGCCATACATTCACCTGGGAGATAAACAAGCAGACAAAAGGTCTCACTATTTTCCGACCTGTCCCTTTCTATTTCTGAAATATAAAAAAGTAAACAAATAAGAAACTACATTTAACTATTTCATCCCTAGACTACATCCAAGAGAAAACACATATGCATACAAAGCCCTGAATATTTATAGCTGTTTTATTTGTAATAGCCCTAAAAGCAGAAGCAATTGAAATATCCACCAGAAATAATCAGTGATAAAGTTAGACATGAGATACCAGTCTTTAAAATGAATGAGCTATGGATACAGATAGCAATATAGATGGATTCTATAATCAATATTCTTCATCAAAGAGGCCAAACCAAAAAATGTACATTCTGTAATAGTTACCGTACATAAAATTGCAAAGTATACTGAGTAATCTATAAGGACGGAAAGCAAAGCATCAGTTGCCTGGAATGGGAAATAGTGACAGTGTAATTGAGACTATCATATCCAGATGTGAAGATACAATGCAGTACGCATCTCTATTTCCAAATCAAAGATGGACGCCCAATGAAACTGTTGGACATATCTAGACAATCAGATGCTGGACCATCTGGCCTTGTCTGCACTAGCAATGTCAGATCACACTGAAATATCAGACTGATGAAGTTATGATGACTGCTTAAGAAGGACTACATTATTGTAATAATATGAGAAAAATCAGTAAGAGAGTAGGAATTTGGGGAAGAGGTAGGGAAATCCCAGACCCAATGGAATTGTACCATATATAGGGGAAAAAAAAGTAGGGTAGGCTGGACTTAACTGCTCTCCAAAATGGAATGTTAGCATCACAATGTCAGCCCCCAAAATTTAGTCTCAACTTCAAGATTTCAGTTATAATAATAAAAAAAGCCTAACCCTCCCCTCCCCCAAATTTAAATGGCCACCACAGAACTTTGGACAGGCCAGAAATTTTATTTTAATTGCAGTGATCATGTCACAGGTTGTAGCAATTCATCAAATTGCCCACTTTAAATATGTGCAGTTCACTTTATTACATCAGTTATAGCTCCCAATAAAAGCTGTAGAAAATATTATACTAAAACAAGTACTAGCAGCTGATATTGAGATTAATGAAAAGTCTTCAGTGGCCTGCCTCAGACTCTTTTTTCCCCATTTAACCCCTAATAAATCCCATAATCTAAATGAATCTTAACACTTAACACTAAATGAATCTATTAACACTTGTGTTTTTATCTGTTCAGTGCTGCTATATAATCTCCTTAACAGGACAAAAGTTCTTTGAGATAACTAAGATATGCTTATTTATTTGTATAAATTCTACTGCCTATACCTACATAATAACCTGAACATAGCAAACACTCAAAAAGTAACTGCAAAAAAGCTCTGTATTTAAATAGATCTGGGCCCAGCGCGGTGGCGCAAGTGGTTAAGGTCCTCGCCTTGAACGCCTGGGATCCCATATGGGCTCCGGTTCTATCCCGGCAGCCCCGCTTCCCTTCCAGCTCCCTGCCTGTGGCCCGGGAAAGCAGTCGAGGACGGCCCAAGACTTTGGGACCCTGCACCCTGTGGGAGACCCAGAAGAGGCTCCTGGCTTCGGATCGGCATAGCATCGGCCGTTGTGCTCACTTGGGGAGTGAATCATCGGATGGAAGATCTTCCTCTCTGTCTCTCCTCTCTGTATATCCGCCTTTCCAATAAAAAAATAATAAAAATAAATCTTAAATAGATCTGTCCAGTTTTTTTAAACAAAAAAATCTTACACACCAGTATCCTAATTTAAGAGATGTCCAAGCACTGACAATCACAATCCACACAATCTTCTCAACACAAACATTAAAAGACAAATAACAAACTTTAAAATCAGCATCTAGAAGACAGATTAAGTATATTTTTTAACACAGAGAAAACCATATACCTAGTATGACTTATTTCCAAATGTTGTTCCACTGAAACCATCAAACTGACTGACTTAGCATCCCCCATCAAACACTCTCTTTTCAGTCCCAGACAGATCTTGATCTATCTTCTTCCTTCTTAGAACATTCTCATCAGTCCTCTCCAACCAAATTCTACCTAGACAATTGTCATGATGGTGTCAGTACTTAAAGAATGAGTATAACAATCAATTCCATGGAACAACAGTTATTAAAAATCAAGGGGTGTGTGTGTATCAGCTGAAACCAGGCTTGTCTCAGTTATGCTCTTAGAATTTGCACAGAGTAAGCGTACGCCCCAAATATAGCAAGAACAGATAATGGCAATAAATTTGAGAGTAATTCCAAAAATGTTGGATACAATTCAGTAATAAGTTGAAAAATACGTATCAATGGAAAATAATTGCAGAAATAATAACTAATATATTAATAAACTAACATTAAACAACCTCTGCTTACCTACAATAAAATGCATATAATAGGTAATTAGAATGGAATGAAAGAAGATAAAACAACACAATGTACAACAGTGTTCCACTATTATAACAGCAGAATTGCATATTCTTTCTTAATATGCTGAAAGTTATACCAACAGGTATAGAAGATGCCCCATGGGGCTGGAATAAAGAATCATCTGCAGGTTTGTGGCTTGGGTTTCTTGGAAGATAATAAGAGCACAGACTACAAGAACAATGGGAGCACTAACAATATCCTATTCACTGCTCTAGACACTAAGGAGACAACAAGGAACGGAACAAGCCCTAGAGCCCACACTCGACAACCGAGTGGGAGTCAAAACTTAGGTACTGGAAAGGCAACTGGACATTTGAACCAGCACTCAAATATAGCCAATCTAGTTTTATAAATTTTTGTCTTATTTGGCTAGTAGTTCTCAGCAATCTACACTAGGATTCCTGATGTTCCAGGTTAAAGTGCATGGAATACTGACATCAGAAAGTCATAACAAAAAGACCTAGAATTTCCATATGTTCCTAGAAACTTTGAATACCAAGGTACCTACCCTCTTATAAAGAGTGGGACCTCAGGCAGACGAGCAAAACAGGTACATATTATACCACTACACATTATTTCAATGCTGCCACCTTATGTTAAAACATGGAACTACACAATCTAAAGAAATATTCAATTACAAAACCTGAAAATAGTAAAAGATTAAAGAGTTAACTGGAGGATTAAAAAAAGTTAACATATTAGTCATTTAATGGCTGTAACAGTCTTTAAAAGAACGTTAACAAAGGCCTTATAATGAGAAAATGTCCTTTAAAACAAAAACATTTGGCACTTTCAAAACAAGAGTTGTAGGAGAAGGTTCATAATCATATTATTTATAATGGCAAAAAACAAAAACTAAATGCCTCCAAGCAAAAGTAGATAATATAAACTGTAGCATATTCACCATCATTGTACTGCTGTCAAAAAAAAGAAACTGGCTACATACAAAGTTTCAGAATAAACAGGATTCCAAGCACAGCATACTGTTTGAGTGTATCAACCAATAAAACGCTTTTTAAAAATCACATGCAAACCTTATTTTTATCATTCATTCTAATACATTTAATACAAAGCTTGATAGTCAGCTCAAAATGTACTTCTATTTTTTTAATTTTTACCTCTGTTTTTGCTCAACTGCTCTGTCCAAGTGCTGAAAGATATCTTGAAACAACGTGCAACTGGACCGACTATTAATAGTATAACCATGTCCTCTCTTCCAGTACTGTTTCAGATCATTTAAATATTCTAATACCTGAAAAGAAAAAAATTTTAAAATCATTTTAACATGCTGTCATCAATATAACAATATTTCCTGATTTTATAAAGATTCTTTATAAAAGCTATACTGTCTAATTATTATCCTACACAAAATATATCAGATTTTTCATATTCATTGGTTTATAACCGTCATTTCAAGTATTTAGGAATTAGCCACATGGTCAATGACACAGAGATTTCTGCTGCATTACATATTTGATCCAGGAGAATACTAGGGATTGGAAGTAAAAGCAGTTTAGTAAATCCACATAAGCCGGTATTCATGACAATTCAGGAGAATGGGTTAAGAACAAGCATTCATCACACGTTTCTTCTAAAATTATATTAAGATGATAGTGACGAAACAGGAAAAACACAGAGAAGTTTTATATTTATTTGTTCATTATAGCACAGAAAGATTCCAACAGTGAATTGGGATTTTGACAAGATAGAAAATAAGTTACTTTGGTTCATAAATCAGTTTGCCAAAAATACTAATAAAAGTATTGTAAGGATATGGGACATGAGTCTGAACGGAGGAAAGTATACCGCTATAGACATTTCAGAAAGCAAGACAGCAAAATCTAGGGAAGCACATATACTCTACGCACAAACTCTCAGATCCATTTAACCCTACTTTTTACACATTAATGTTTACACAGGAACACAGCAGAGACTCTACAGGAACGTCTTAGAGGAACTAAACCCCTCCTGGAAATACCTACATTCCACTAGTAGATAGTAACTATCAAACAAACTAAGGTATACATATTCTGTGCAATACTTCACAGTTATCACAGAAGTTACATAATGAGATAATTGACACAACAGATTTTCAAGACACACTGCTGAGTGAAAAGTGGGTTAAGATTAATAAACAGCATAACTTCATTTATTACCAAAACACTAACATAAATACACATGGCACCCTTAACGTTTGAAGAATTACACAAACTATAAGTAAAATCATAGCAAAGTGCTTGAAAGGTAAACGTCAAAACTGACACAAGCTGAGGGGTCAGGGCTCAGTTTGTGAGGTGTTAAAAGGGATCAGGAGGGCAGAGCATCAGAAGAGAAAGCTAGGCAGGAGTCTCATAAACCTGTGAACCAGATGGCAGATCTCAATCCCCGTTTCTTTGCCTTTGAAATAAATTTAAAATAAATGTATTAACCTCAAAGTCAGCAAAAGATAGATCTTCAAAGCATGAGTTACCTGGAGGAGCAAAAAAAAAAAAACAAAAAAACAACAATCTTTCCCTGGAAACAGCCCCTCTGACAGTTTGTGTGACACAAGGTCAGATGGTCAGTGCAAGTAATCAAACTGAAAGAATCCTAATCCTTCTTGCATATGCGCTCATCTGGGCTAGCTAAAACAAGGGGCCAGCGTTGGTGGGCTAATCTAACACCTCTGATGCCACATTCCCACATCAGAATACCAATTCTAGTGTTTTGCTGCTGATCAAGCTCCATGCTATTGTTCCTGGGAAGACAGCAACAAATCAGCCAATGCTTGCGCCCTTGCCACTGATGTAGACCTGAATGTCCACAGCAACATTGTTCATAACAGCCCTAAATTGAAAACAAAATCTCTACCAATAACATAATGAATAAATCATCATACATACATAATGGAATAGCAAACAGCAAAGAAAATATTCCTACATGCAATGGAATGAATAAAACCTTAAAAGCATAATGCTGAAAATGTACAAAAAACATGTACCTGCTTGCTGAGTCTATTACACAAGATTCAAAAACAGAAAAAGATAAATTGCTTCTTAGGAAAAAAAAACAGAGTAATATATATTTATCATACTGAAGAAAAAAGTAAAAACACAATAATGGGGAAATGATCAGAGAGGAAAAACTGAAAAACTAAGTTTGTTGATCTCTGCACATCCGAATGACATGAATGATCTTTATAGTAAAAATATTAAATACCAACACAGATCTAGAAGAAACAGAAACTCTAGATATATCTATTACAGTGGAAAAATACAAAGATGCAAAAAAGGATATCCTACAGAAAAGCATTAGTTTACGGATCTTTTTAAATTTTTCCTTTTTATTTCTATTTTACTTGAAAGGCAAAGAGATGGAGTGCCAAAGTTTCAACTTCTAGCTCTACTTCCATTCAGTCTGCTGCTAATGTATGCCATAGTCGAGGACCTAGGCCCCCGCTACCCATATGGGAGACCCCATTGAGTTCCAGGCTCAGCTTCAGCCCAGCCCACCACTTGATGTTGTAGGTATTTGGAAAGGAAACCAGCAGATGAAGATTAATCTCTCTTTGCCTTTCAAAGAAGTAAAAAGAATTTTCCTTAAAAAAAAAGTAAATATATATAGTGAACACAACAGATGCCTGCCATTGTGTCTCTATGTTACTCTGTATGTCTTATGAATACGCTATATGGCAAAAACAAATTTGAAGCTGTGATCAGCAAGGGATCCTTGAAATGGGGAGAAAATTCTGAAGTATAAGGGGTTACAACGTAATCAGAAGATTCCTTCAGTCAGGGTTACAGAGGTGTTGTAGGGAGAAGACGCAGTGATAGCAAGGAGCCTCTAGAAACTAGAAGAGCAAGGTATGCTCCTTCCCTGCAGGCTCCAGAAACAAGGCTTCCCTCACTCCCTTGATTTCACCCTCATTTTGGATGTGTGATCTCCAGAACGCTAAAGAAAATAGATCTGCATTGTTTTAGTTCACTAATCTGAGGTCATTTATTACAATAGCACAAAAACGAACATAAAACACTAGGGAGAGAGATTAACTATCAGTGATATACAGTACAGAAATACAAGCAGGTGATCAGGGGATGAATAAACAGAGGTTGGCTATGGCCTGAGAAACACACGGTCACTGTGAGGGAAGCAGGCTGTATTTAACCCAGAAATGACCGATCTTCAAAATAAGAGGCCACATGATAGAGTTCTCAGAAAAGGAAAGGAACAGACGTGGCGACAGGCAGGTGAATTTGCCCAAATACTCCAACACCTAGATTAACTGGGTAGGTAAATTCTGTTAAAAAGTGAATTTCCCTTTTGCCAAGACCCACCCATACACAACACTGAAGATCACTTCAATCATGTTCTTCCCTTGGAATCAACCTGAGCAGAGAGAAAGGGAGTTATTCCCAGTGAGTGGCCCTGTAAGCCTCCGTTTATACCTACACTGGCATAAATATTAGCAGTGCCCATTCCACTTCTAAAAGTAGAATTTATAATACAAGCTGCATGACCATCCAAGGCACAAAGCACATCACAGGAAGAGAGACCAGGGAGCCCCTGAATTACACAGAGGGTGAGGAGGATGCTGGGTACTCAAGGCAGCAAAACAAGGAGGCCACCAGAGCCTAGAGCACTGAAGGGAAATACCATATACCTCCTCACTACTGGTCTCCAGCACCCCACAGCAACCACCTACAGAGTCCTTTCCCTGCAAACCATACTCACACACTAGCACAGGAATCATCTTATTACTGTATTCTATTGTTGATTCCTGAAGTTCCTGACAACATAATCATGTGTTGATCTTCCACACTGGGTTGGTAAAATTATTTCAGCTTAAAAATTCCACTCTGTCTGGCAAACAGTATGCTTCTACACAAACTCTGAAATTAAATATTGAAGTTCATCATCAATTTCCATGAGAAATACCTAAGGTTTAATATGTATGCAAGATGTCACAAATCCATATCCTGAGCGATAAGAGCTTAAAATTGCTTAACAAAATAATATTCTCCTACCCCATCTCTGATACCTAACATCCCAAAGTTGACCTGAATTTATCTCCTACAGCCAGTAGAGGCTGAAAGTCAGAAACATGAATAAAGAAAAAGGAAAAAGACAAAAAAAAAAAAAGGAAATGAAGTATGCAGGAAAGAACTGTAGATGAATTACTGCCACCACCAGGTGGAACACAGAAGCCAATTCTCATGAAAACAGTCAGAGACAGGACTCCAAAAAATCATTTATCCTTGCAAAACTGACTTCCTATAAAAACAGATATTTGGATTATACCAACTCAATGATGCCGTCCACTAGTAAAATCTGATGAAGGGATAAACAGATTTTTAATTGGGTGGACCTAGAAATACAATCACCATGGAAAAACATGTTTTCCAGAGTTCTATGAACCCGAACTGTTTATTATAAATAAGTGACATTTAGTTGAACAAACATATCTCTTTATTAAAAAGTCAGAAGTTAGCCACAAAACAGTTTATGCTGCCTAACTATTTTCAGAAAAAGTGACCTCAAGTAACAAAAACCAACATCATGCAAACATAAACAAACAAATAAGCAAAGAAACTAAAAAATTAACACTTACCTTTGCATCATCTATGTCAAAAACATCACACCAAGGAGACTTAGTACCTTTAATTGCCAGGTCAAATGAACAGGTGAAAAAAGCTACCTGAATTAAATCTGGGAGGAAAAAAGTAAAAATGTGTGGGTTATTATTTCCCGCAAGCTTTTAAAGGTTAAATATCCATAGAAGCCTGTGCATGGTATAGTTGAAAAAACTATGTATTTCTAGCTTGGTAAAGGAACTATTTGGGTTTTCCTGGCTAACAAAGAATTAAAAGGCTTGCACTATAGCATTTTAAAGAGGTAGAAGTGGAACCATCAGGAAGACAATTAAGGAGTCATAGACCACAATGAAACTAAGAAACTTTCTGTAAATAATAACATAATGCTTTAAAAAATTTTGTTGTTGTTGTTAAGAGCATATTTGCCTAGCAAGCCCAACAAACACTGTGGGCCTAAGGACTCCACAATGTAAAACTTAACTTGATTTGTTAAATTTAGAGGAGTGGAGAAGGGGGACAAAACAAATACCTTTTAAACCTATATAATTCATAGTACATTTATTATGAAAAATAGAAAGAGAAGGCCAGAGAGGGGGAAAAGAAGACTGCAGAAGATGGAGCAGAAGGATGAGTAGTGAGGGAGACATGAGAAAGATGAAACAAAGATCATGGAAAAAACAACACACTGAAGAGGAAGAGAAAGGCTGGTAGCACTGCTTTTTCAAACTAAGCTGCTCACACGATTTCAGATTTCAGAATAACTTACTGGGATTTTTTACATTACTAATCTTTGATTCTACTACCTGCAGCCACATTGGCGCTGAAGAGAAGAGATAAAGAAACATGTGCTTAGATTGCAAAAGGTAGTGTTGACAGCAACAAACATTGCTGCTCTCTAGTCAATGGGAAGGGGATGAAGTGTGACGCCAGAGAAAGAAGTCACGTGCAGGAGTTGTCTTCATTGCTCTTTCTTCAGTATTATTACCCTTCCTATTTTTCAAAGAAAAATGGACCAAAACCTAATTGTATGCCTTGGGTACTATTCTGAACTTAAAGAGTTCCCCCTAAGCAATACAGAGTGCAAAAAAAGGAGTGGATCTTTGAAAATATACACTGAAGCTGCAGTGAGTATTGCAGCATGGTATGTTAAACCACCAGTTAGAATACCGGGATCCCACATCAGAGTGTTTGAAATGGAGTCCACCTCTGCATCTGGTCCAACTTTTTGTTAACACGCATCCTGGGAGGCAAGAGTGACGGTTCAAGTATGTGGGTTCCTGCCACCCAAGAGAGTGGGAACCAACAGTTGGAAGCTGTCTTGTCCCCGCCCCCCCCCACACCTCTCTTCCACATCACTGTCTTTTAAAATAAATAAATCCCAAATAAATTTTTGTTCATCTAAAGGAAAGGTTTTGTAATGTAAACATCTAAAATAAGTATCATGTATATTAGGTAAAAGGTACTGGCTCATTTATCAGACTTAAAGTTCAAGTTAAAAACCACAAAAGTCAGGCTCAACAGTGTCTTGTTTAACCAAAAAAAAAAAAAAAGGCTGATGAAAAAGAAGTTCACCAAAAAGCTCTCTGAAGTATAAGCGGGGAAAGCCTTGAGATCAGATCTGATGTCATGTGTTCTGATTATGCCATTCATTATCCTGGAAAAATCACTCGGGCTCCTGGGGTCTCAGTGTCCCCAGCTATAAAATATGAAGGCAAGACAACCTTCATTGGCAAACTAAAGCTCTGACTCATTCCTTCTGACTTTTCTTTTGTAGATTTATTTAGCTGAAGCATTTCTGTACATTGAGAGAGATATTACACCCATTGCTTCACTCCTCAAATGGCTGCACAAACAGAGGCTGGTATACGCCAAAGCCAGGACCCCAGAAATCCACCTGAACATCCTAAGCTTTCATGTCATCCTCCATATCCTTCCCAGGGGTATCAGCAGGAAGCTGCAGAAGTGCAGCAGCCAAGACTTGAATGGGCACTCCAGTGTGGGATGCTGGCGCCAAAACAGCTGCTTACCCTGTACCACAATTTGAGTTCTCGCTATATAACAGATGTGAATGTCAATCAAAAGCACTATAAATATACCTAAGATAAGCAACAAATTAAGAAAAAGCACTAGCAATACACAATAAGAACTAATCTTTTGTCAGGGAGAACCAAAAGCTATGTAATTAGGGCCCGGTGCAATAGTGTAGTGGTTAAATCCTCACCTTGCGTGCACTGGGATCCCATATGGTCTCCAGTTCTAATCCCAGCGGCCCCACTTCCCATCTAGCTCCCTGCTTCTGGCCTGGGTAAGCAGTCAAGGACAGCCCAAAGCCTTGGGACCCTGCACCTGCATGAGAGACCTGGAAGAGCTCGTGGCTCCTGGCTTCAGATTGGCTCAGCACTAACTGTTGCACTCACTTGGGGAGTGAATCATTGGATGGAAGATCTTCCTCTCTGTATATCCATCTTTCCAATAAAAATAAATAAATGTTAAAAAAAATTACATAATTAATACATTCACAACACCTAAAGGGTCCCTATGCTCAATGAGATGGGCAGTAAAACTACCCATTATAAAACAGGTCAGGTTTTTATGAAGTTATACTTCTCAAAACAAATCAAAAGCTAACAAACATAGGGGGCGGATAATGCTAATTTTTGGAAATAATTGGAGAAACACATATTAAAGCTAGATACCACTGTGCGTGGAACAAATTAGTAAAAATTAAAACAACATCTGCGAGTTGGATGTAAAACTGGAAAATCAGGAATCTTATGAAGTACTGATACAATATTTACTTTCAGAGAACAATTTTCAAGTATATGTTAAGATGTGAAACAAGCATCGTTGTTAATCCAATCATTATGGCCATTTTATAAAGAAACTCTCAAGAACGTTTGCTGCAAGCCAGAGCTAAAAACTAGGAAAAACTTCAGTAGGAAATCGTTTTCTTTTAAGAAGATGGATCATATGAGTTCCAGCCTCTTAAAAGCAGTAAAATTTGCTAAGTTTTTATTAGCACTGAACCAGAAACTAAGTCATATATCCAAGAACCTGCATGGAATATGAAAGAATGTACAGATTCATATCAATACATACATTGTTAAGTAAGATTGAATTACAGAAAACACATACCATACACACATCTAAGTTTAAAATTATATTCAAATAGCTCAAATATTTACTGAGAAACTCTCCTGTTAGACACTGCACTAAAAGCCTTGAATGAACTAACACACATAATCCTTTCAATGATCCTATGGGTAAGCATAATACCTATATCCATTATACAGCAAAGGACACTGGCATAGAGATACTAAGGAAGTGGCTAAAAATCTAATACTAGAGTAAGGTCAAAATGCAAATACAAACAATCCAGAATACACAATTTTAACCACTATGCTTGTATTTTCTCCTAGCTCCCATTAGTAAAATGCAAATAATCTTTACCTGCATTTGAAAAGTTTAATAAAGATTTTCAACAATCTAAATGTTCATGGAGCAAATAATGACTAGATACTAGCAGAGCAATATAACAGAATTCCAAATACAGGGCCTGTAATCAAAATACTAAATAAGGATTCAGCACCATGGTATAGCAAATTTACCCTCAACTTGCAGCACTGGCATCCCATATAGATACTAGTTCAAGTCCCAGTGGCACCACTTTTGATCCAGCTCCCTGCTAGGAGCCGGGAAAGCAGGTAAAGATACGCTTTGGTCCCTGCACCCATACAGGAGGCTCAGAAGAAGCTCCAGGCTTTGGACTGGCCTGCTCTGGCCCTTGCTGCCATCTGGGGAATAAACCAACAGACAGAACACATCTCTCTTTCCCTCTCTCTCCCCTGTCCTCTCTGTATACCTCTACTTTCCAAATAAAAATAATCCCTTTAAAAATTAAAAAACACAAAGTTGTACATAAAAATTAAAATTCAGACTCATACTTTCTACTCATATTCTTAAAAGTTTGGAAATCTGCAAAACTATACTCCATATATATACACAGAAACATATAGAAACAGTCTTAGAATAAGTGCTAAATTCCTGACACTGATCACCTGTGGAGAGAAAAAGACGAAGAAATCCAGGAAAGGAACTACTGGGCCTCAGTAGTCTTCTAACTTCATCCATTTAAAAGGCACAGAGATGGGCCTGACACAGTCGCCTAGCAGATAAGTCCCTGCCTTGTACACACGAGGATCCCATATGGTCACTGGGTCTAATCCTGGCGGCTCCACTTCCCATCTAGCTCCCTGCTTGTGGCCTGGGAAAGCAGTTGACCCTGAACCCGTGTGGCAGACCCAGAAGAGGCTCCAGGCTCCTGGCTTGAGATCGGCTTAGCTTCGGCCGTTGTGGCCATTATGGGAGTGAATCAATGAACAGAAGATCTTCCTCTCTGTCTCTCCTCCCCTCTGTATATCTGACTTTGCAATAGAAATAAATAAATCTTAAAAAAAAAAAGGTACAAAGACACAGATCTCTATCTGCTGTGCTTTTTCCACGCATAAGCAGTAGCGGAAGCTAAGCCAGGCTGATAACAGGAACTCAATCCAGGTCTCCCACCTGGTGGCGGGGACGCAAGAAGTTGAGTCATCACCTGCTGCCTCCCAGGGTGTGCCTCGGCAGGAATCGGAGTGGAAGCAGGGCCTGGACATGGAGCCAGACGCTGTATTTGGGATGCTTGACAGGTAATTATAATGCCCAACCTTGGTTCTCAATTGTAACGTACTGTCTAAGCATCTTAATTTGATTCTTTATTTCAAAGGCAGAACTACAGAGAAAGACAGTAAGATCTTGTGTCAGTTGGTTCACTCCCCAAAAAGAGCAAGAGACAGAGCTGGGCCAGATCAAAGCCAGGAGCTGTTGCCAAGAATCTTACCCAGCTGTAGGGCACCTGGGGCAACTGCTGCCGCCGCCCCAGTCACAACAGCTAGAGCAGAAGAGGGGCAGCCAGAACTCAAACCAGTGCCCATATGGGACACTGGTGTAGCAGGCAACAGCTTTACCCACTACATCACATTGCTGGCCCTGGCATCTTCAGTTTTTGACCCTTATAAAGCCCCCAGGATCCATAATTAACGGGTTCTAATTTCATTTCTTCTTTTCTCTAACATTTCCTACTTTCAGTGTTTTTGGTAAATGATTCATAATGTAATGAAATATCCAGACACTTAAATTTGTCAATATTTGCTCTACAGATAATGAATTTCCAGAAAAGAGAAATAAATCTGATTTTCTTAATTCCCCATGGTTAGAGAACCATGTGCCCCAGTTTCCTAGCTACCTTCTCAGTATAGTTACTAAGTGTTCTCAAAAGGTCCCAGTTTGGATGACAAAGTACACAGATTACTCACTGCAATACCTTTTGGCCTGACTGCTCACCATCTCACCATCTCTATGGATAAAATCCTCAAACAACATGACTCCACTCAGCTATTCACTTTCTAAAACTTATCATAAGATAACATGTGAGAAGGATTTCTCTACTTTTTGAAAAGACATAATTTATTTGGAAGGCAGAGTCACAGAGAGGGGGGAAAGACACACAGAGGTGGAGACAGACAGAGACAGAAAGCAAATTTTCCATTCAGTGGTTCACTCTCCAAATAGCTGCAACAGCCAATGCTGGTTGCAATGCAACCAAAGCCAGGACTCTCATTTGGGTCTCCCACAAACATATAGACGACCAAGCACTTGGGCCATTTTCTGTTGCTTTCCCAGCAGGCGGCTGGAAGTGGGGCAGCTAGTACTTGAACCAGTGTCCATATGAGATGCCACAACACTGGCCCTGATTTTTCTAGTTGTACCATTTAATGAAGCAATAATTTAGAAAATGTTTGCCTTAAACTTAAAATTGAGTCCTCCAAAAAAAAATACACCAAGAATGGGTTTACATCAATAAACAAAACCCACAGAATATGAACATAAAAATAGCAAGCATGAGTGTTACAATGTTCTTGATCCCTTATCTTCTTAACAAATCCAATTACTGGCCTTTAAGAAGAATAGCTATTTTCTTAGTTTGTCATTCTCACAGCTCAAAATTATAACGCCAAAGTTCAAATGAGAAATAATAAGCACATTACCTGCATTTAAATCATTTACTGGAACTTGTAAAGCAGCTGCAACTTTTCTTAAAATCTTCTGCATTTCTGGTCCAGTTTTGAAGGCTTCTACGTGGTAAAGAGCCGTAGCATTCCTTTCCACTTCAGTTAAAAATTTTTCACAATAATCAAAGAACCTCATCAGTTTATCATTAATCCTCGGAGGCCCACACTCCATATCTGAAAGTAATACAAAAAAGTTCACATACCATAAATCACTTGACATGAATGACAATTTCAAACTGCTAAAAAATTCTATTTCAGGTATGAATGAGGAAGACAACTTAACCCACATGTCTAAAATAAGCATATACTAGAAAAAAGGCTGACATTATTTCTCATGTACAGTAGTTGTATGGCCTGAGGATGCTAAAATGATGAAAACACAACATTGATCCATTCATTTATATAATGATAGCACTACTACACAACAAAAAAAGGTAACTAGATGTCTTCAGTTGAAAAAAGTGTTTTTTAATTAATTAGTGTGTTTATTTCTAGCAGAAAGGCAGATTTACAGAGAGAAGGAGATAGAGAAAGATCTTCCATCTGCTGGCTCACTCCCAAAGAGGCTACAATGGCTGGGGCTGAGCTGATCCAAAGCTAGGAGCCAGGGGCTTCCTCTCAGTCTCCCACACGGTGCAGGATCCCAAGGATTTGCACCATCCTCAACTGCTTTCCCAGGCCACAAACAGAGAGCTGGATAGGAAATGGAGCAGCCGGAATACAAACGGTGCTCATATGGGATCCTGGCACATGTAAGGCAAGGGACTAATTTTAAACTTGGTGAAATGCACTATTTCCCCAATTCAGCAACAGATATGCATTAGAAAAGTATTTATCATTATTCAACTACTGGAGTATCTGCTAACAATTTACCATGAAAAGAGAAACTACACAATTTGCATACATAAAATCTGAGAAAAATTTAATGTAGTTAACACCACTGTTTTGGCTATGTGTGCAAAATAAAATCCAGCTGTCTAATTATGTCCATTGAAATGGAATTTCTGCCTAAGTTAAATACTAACTGGATTAAGTTCTTAAGAAACTATCTTGACTAGGAAAATAAGAACTTTGTCATCTTCTTCTGTGGTTTAAAGTGTGATTTCCTGAGTGGATCTGAATATTTCATCCTTGTCTAACTACTGTTCTTTAAACAAAAGCACTGTTCTGTTTCTATTAAGAATACACACTCTAATTCAGTGGCCTCCCTCAAAAGCCCAAATACACACAACAGGCAAAACAATTGTCTAGGATGATAATGAAGTGACTGGGCAAAGCACGCAATCCGGAGGCTGAATACAATGGAAGGTGGGCTTGTCCTGAACTCTGGCCACCCTTGCTTTGTACTCTGAAGCAAATGCCAATGTTTGCAATGCCATCCCAAGGCAAGAATTCATTAATTCCAAGGGTTGCATTATACAACTATGTTCCGCTTCACCATTCAGTTAATTCTGAGGGATTTATGGGGAATTTTCACCCATGTGAAGGGGAAACATCCAACTGTAATTACAATGCATGATTCAACAAGTGACTAAACACAAGAGAGCCAAATGAGTTATCCACAAAGCAACGGATAACACAACACACAGCAAGTGTGTAGACAGTTCAAATGCTGCTGGAGAAAGATGAAACATCAATGTAGAGTTTATTTTTTTGCTTGGGCTTTGAAGTTAAGCTTCCTCATTTGAACTCTGACTTTAAAACTAACTGCAAGAACTATCAACTATCAGCTTGTTCACCTTCTTAAGCCAGCAATGCCACGTGCTTTTATTTCTTGATTTACTAAAGGAGACCTGGAAATTGTATATATAGTGTTAATAATTAAGAAAACAAGCTCTGGGACCAGAGCGATAGCCTAGTGGCTAAATCATCTGGTATCCCATATGGGGGTGCTGGTTTGCATTCCGGCTGCTCCACTTCCCATCCAGCTCCCTGATTGTGGTCTGGGAAAGCAGTCGAGGACAGCCCAAAGCCTTGGGATGCAGCACCCATGTGGGAGACCCAAAGGAGGCTCCTGGCTCCAGGTTTCAGATCAGCTCATCTCTGACCATCTCTGACCCTTGTGGCCACTTGGGGAGTGAGCCAGCAGATGGAAGATCTTTCTTTCTGTATCTCCTTCTCTCTGTAAATCTGCCTTTCCACTAAAAGTAAATACATCTTTTTTAGAGGGTTTTTTCCCCCCCAAGAACTCCTGGTTCCTTTATGAAAATAGGCTGGGCGAAGTTTTTGTGTTTGTGTTTCAATGTTCTCATCTGTGAGACCAGGGATGTGGTGCGGGCATGGAGAGGGCAAAGACCAAGTTCAGAAAGAAGCTGTAATGGTTAAGAAAAAAAAGATAAGGCATGTGTGACACATAACACTGTTAAGTGGTCACTAGCATATCGGTCGGGTCTGTGGCTACTGGAACATTTCCTGAGGGAAATAGCACCATTCCGAGAAAACAGAGCTCCCTAACTCTGGGCCTGTCTCTAGCCTTCAAACTAGAGATGCAATGAAGAGAAGCATACTCTTCCACCCAGTCTGTTTATGTGAAATAAAGGGGCCCCACTACAGGATTTCTCAAATTCTAACAAAGCGGAATTCCCAGGATAAATTAGTAAGCTACTGTGACCCAGGACTAAAGCCACGAGGAGAGCTCTGCAGGAAATAAGGGAACAGCAGAAAAGCAAGCCACAGTCACCTCAGCAGCAGCCGTCTAGAACTAAACAGCTGAAAAACCAGCAAGTCAATCAAAACCCACAAGTATCAAAAGCAACACCTGTGGAATAACGCTCTAGATTGGGCTTTTAGAAAGCACACCCAATTATAAAACTGCCAGCCAGGGAACCGGAGGCGAAATGCGGTGGAGCTCAGACAGGAAGCAATTCAATTTGTTTAGGGATGGCAGATGAAAAATTATTTATTTGGGAAAGAGACGGTGTCCCTCTTTTCCCACTAAATGTCCAACATCCACCACATCGCGTTTGGGCCGCAGTAAAAAGGCGCCAATACCTGAGGCAAGAATAAGCAAACACACCTCAGAGAAGGGAGACTGCCAAGTCTGGACCATCGCGCCCGAGGAGGACAGAGCCCGGAGGACTGGGGGAACAGAGGGAAGTGAGAGGTCGGGGCTCAGAGGGACTCCTCCATCCCCGGGGGAGGACCGAGAGGACTGAGGACGCACAAGCGCCCCGGGCGGTCACCTGCGACGTCGGGCGGCGGTAACCCGGGGTGGTAGTGCTGCCACAGCCCCTGCAGGAAGGCGGCGCCGCTGTCCACGCAGCGGTGCTTGGAGCTGGTGAGCAGCCGCAGGCGGCCGTAGTTCTCCCGGCTAAAGAGGGCCGGGAAGAGCGAGGCCAGACGCAGCGCCAGCTGCCGCATGTCCTGCCGCCCCTTCTCCACCAGCTGCCCGTCCATCCAGTCCGCGTACTCCAGCGGCCAGTTGGCCAGCGCGGCGCCCAGGTCGCGTCCGCCCGTGCCATCGCCGGGGCCGCGGGCCTGCAGCAGCCCGTGCAGCTGCCTCAGCTTGCGGATCTGTTTAGCCGTGGGATAACGGGTGCCATGGCGGATGAGGGCGACCAGCTGCACGGGGGTGCAGGTGCCGTCCAGCAACTCCGGATCCCGCCGCGGAGCTTCGGGGTCCAGGACCAACCCGGGGTTGACATCCTCGTAGCGAGTCTTGGTACCGAAGTAGGGGCTCAACACCGAGGCCGCCGGGTCGCTAGGCCCCAGGAGAGAGCAGCGCGCGAGCGACGACAGCAACGCCGCAGCCAGGGCCACGCCGGGCGCTACGGAGGCCCCGAGGAGGCGGCCGGGATGCCGGAGCATGGTGCGGCGAGCCCGCCGAGGGCTGCGCTCCGGCAGCAGACGCCTAACTTCCGGCTCCGGGGGCCAGGAGGCGGGCCCGAAGGCCGCTTCCGGTGTTTCGCGTCGTCGTGAGGCGCTGCGCTTCTCCCTCTCTGTCGAGCCTCGCGGAGGGCGGTGTGTGTGTGGGCACAGCAGGAGCTGAGGCTCCGAAGGGAACGGCGAAAACACCCCTCCAAAAAGCCTGGGGCCGCCGAGGCTGAGGTGGAGCCGGAGGAGGTGGAGCCGGAGTCGGCGGAGCGGCAGCGTGGGCGAGTTTCTCTGAGCCGGCGCCTCGGGCACTGACTCATAGACGCCTCCCTCGCTGTTGTTTCGCCCGCAGTGGGAATGCAGCCCCGGCCACGCCTGAGCCTCCGAGGTTGACAGATGAGAGTCTTCTGTCACCTTCTGTCCTCCCTTTCCATGAGGGATTTGGCAAGTGTAGTCCCTGAGCGAACCATGTCAAATCCGTGTGTTGAACTGCAGAGCACAAAGATGCCTCTGGAAGCCCAAGGTATTTCTCCCGTTTGAGTTTGAAAATAATGAAGTTACAACTCCACAGTCGACAGAATACAGTTCTCCAGAAATTGGAGTTCTGAAGCTTTGGGATCGTCCTGACCTGGATTAGCAGAAGCTGACAGACCAGTGAGAGAGAGCGAAAGTTGGGTGCTTGCTGATCCCGAAGGCCTGCCAAGGAGAGACATAGTTGACCGTGACAGCTTGGGCCCATTGAGTCATAGCTCGACAGATTCCCTCCTTCATTAAGCAGGAAGCAAACTTGCACTTTGTTAACCGCCCCTGAGGTCCCACACGCTAACTGAACAGTTCACTAGTGAACACAGCTGCTCGATCTTTGCCTAACCCAAAAGTCATAAATCTGAACAATATCCCTGTTCATACACTTGAGCCCCAGTTTATATGCTACTTGGGAAAAGGATGGGTTATTAAAAAGCTCCAAATTGAAGGAAGTTTGGAGCATGTTTTTCTAGGTGTATGTAGCTTTTCCCCTCAAAGCTAATAATGCATTGCTTTTCAAAAGCACCATCCTTTACCCTTAGTCTCTTAGGTTAAATATCTTTCTCGTTCAAAGAGATACACCTCTAAAATTAATCATGATGAGAATTTTAAAATTAAGCATAGATTGAAGCTTGAAACCTGAAAACTTTAAGACATGCTTTAGGGCAACAAGTATTTTACATATTTTGTAGAAAGTCAGTGCCTGATTGCATGTCAGTGAGAAAGTTTGAATATTTAGTGAATATGTAGTGCTGCTTTGTAGACTTTCTAATCACTGTGCTTTGTAGCCTGACCTCGGGTTTTCTAAGCTCTTCAGCAAAGTGAATCTCACCATGTTTCCCTTAACGGTGATCACCTCTCATAGCCTTAAAAGCTAGCAGGACTTCCCAAGGCATCATTCATTTCTAAATGATGAAGAACTTGTGAGAGATGCTATTCAAACTACTAGCAAAACCTGTTGCACACATTCTTACACATTAAGTACATATCTAGCCTAATTTTATTATCCTTCCCCTGCTCCCTCATTTGTTAGTTTTATGCATTTCATATAGTAGGCAAAACACTTCAGTCCTTTCGATATAATGCCAAGATAACAATGATAAGTAAAACTCAGTAACCCCTTGATATTTGTCACTAGGGAAAAGGTACATATAATATAAAGATTATAAAAAAAAAAAAAAACCTCCGGATCCAGACTCCAAATTCTGTCATTTATTAACTGAGTGACCTTCAGAAGTTAAATAAATTCTTTGAGCCTTAATTTCTTTCAAAATTAACAATATTAGAACCAACACTATAGGAATAGCAATAGAATCAGAGAGCTGTATTTAAAACTCATCTAGAAGGTTCCTATAAGTTGTATTTTTATCATATAAAGTTATTCCTATGCTAAAATACTTAACTGTCTAGCAGTTACATTGTATATACTTACATCTCTTAAACATTAAAACAAGTGACTTCCATAGGCAAGATATGTCCAAAGATCAAAGATTTATAACTTCTGTGATAATCAAAATCCACCCAGAATATTTGGATTATTTCTTTCTTTGACTAATGAGCAGCCTTTGAAATTGCCCTATTTATTTTAGAAAAAAAGATTTGAGAGGCAAAGTAAAACACAAATAGAACTTTCATCTACTACTTCACTCCCCAAGTGCCTACAATAGCTAGGAGTTACTTTAGCAGCCTCCCAAGATCAAGATCTTCATTAGTAGATAACCTGAGTCAGAATTCAGAATTAGGTGTCAAATCCAGGTGGTCAGTTATGAGACAAAGGTATCCTGATCTGCTTCTTTACTGCTTAGGCCTTATTACCCTTTGAGAAATGAGCCCAACTGGTTGAATCAAGTGGGATTTGCATGGTACAAAACATGGATATCCCCCTCTGAAGGCATCATGGGTGGATTCCTTTCCTTAAAGGAGGTTCTGGGCATGCAGCAATACTTTTGATAAATGTATCACAGTATGAGAAAGAATAGAAAAGTAATGATACAACATGCTTGAAGAGATAGGGAGAGGATGGAGTCCAGAGCACAGATGGAGAACTTGTTTTGGAATGGAAGAAGGACCTCATCTTCTTAAAGAAGATTTATTTCTTTATTGAAAAGTTAGATTTACAGAGCAAAGGAGATCTGGAAAGAGGATAGAAAGAGGATGGATCTTTCATCCACTGATTCACTGATTAGCCAGTTAAGCCATCATGCTGACCCATGGAACTTTATTTTCTTAGGGAAGATTGTGATGCCTGAACATGTGGATACATTTGCACTTGTTACGAGAGGTAATACGTGAAACAAAAAAGACCTCCATTTCTTATGTAGAGGCAAAATGGGGGAACCACTGTCAAGTCTTGGAATGTGGAAATGGCTTTGATTTGCAACTAAGGGAAGTGGGAAAGTGAGAAAAAATGATGTGTCATTAAGAACAGTGGAGCCTGGCACAGTAGCCTAGTGGCCAAAGTCCTCACCTAGCATGCATCAGAATCCCATAAGGATGCCAGTTCTAATCCTAGCAGCCCCATTTCCCATCCAGCTCCCTGCTTGTCTGGGAAAGCAGTCGAGGATGGCCCAAGGCCTTGGGACCCTTTACCTGCATGGCAGACTCAGAAGAGGTTCCTGGCTCCTGGCTTCAGGTTGACTCAGCTCCAGCCATTGCAGCTGCTTGGGGAGTGAATCAGTGGACAGAAAGTTTTTCTCTCTGTCTCTCCTCCTCTCTGTATATCTTACTTTGCAATAAAAATAAATAAATATTTTTTAAAAGTGGGGAAACAAGTAACCCATTGAATGGTTAGCTCTGAAGATCCAACAGAGTAGAAGATTTGAGTTGCTAGTGGTTTGCCATAGATCAACATGCTAGAATCAATAATTGAAGTGAGAAATCAAACCTAGTACTCTTATGTGAGGTTCAGCCATTGCATCAATGTCTTAGCTAGTAGACAGATTAAACACACCTCAGGACTTTTACCAATCGCAGTCTTAAAGTTTTACCATATTTTTCTATAAATCCTCAGTACTAACGTTTTACGCTATTCTTCACTGGACTTCCAAAGTAATTAGTCTGCTGTTAGAATTCTTTGGTGTCTTAATAGTATTTTAAGTTATAACCATCTGCTGTACTTTAAAAAAGGCCACTAGGGAAGATGCTTTCCTAGTGGAGAAATAACAAAGAAAAAAAAATTCTGTAGGTTCTCCATGTAAATATTTATAATATTAAGAACTATGTTGGTGGGTTGAGTCCAGTCTGTTCAGAGGTGCAGGTCTCTGAATCTCCAAGCCATGTGGCTGTGGCTGGAAGAACCTGTGCTGGGTCAGGCTTCCTGCTGGGGATCCTAGCTCCCAGCTACTGCTGCCAAGCCGTGGACAAATCCTGGACTTGTCCAAGCCTTGGCTCCAAGAATTTCCTCTGTCCACAACAGTCATGCTGTGGACAGATCTTGGGGATGATTCTGGGGCATGCTCAGGATCATGGCTCTACCAACTGCGACCATGTTGGTGGGCAGAGTTCAGACAGGACTGGGGACAGAACTGACCCAGTAATTGTAGCCACCAGCATATACATAAGCTGATTGGTGCAATGTACTGTGCTGGCCCTGTAGTGGCAAGCACACACAAGCATCAGGTCTGGGATCACCTCAGATGATGTGTCCTTGGGGATCCCCCAATCAAACTGCTGGACTTAGAACCCCATCCATGAAGAGAATTGCAGGTTCCATGGTCTGAGCGTGGAGTGCATGTGTCAGAACTGGGCCTCCCCAGTGGCTCAGATGGAGTAGCCAGTATATCTAGGTTCACATGGAGAATATAGCAGAACATTGGATTCTGCAGAGGACACCTGGTACCATAACAGAGAATGGAGGACAGAACAAATTGATCAACTACCACAGCCAAGTGTTTGCATTGAATATCTGGGCAAATGGAGACTATGTTCAACCAGTAGACTATGTCAACCAGTAGATTTAGAAGAAATTTCATCATGCTTGAAATGGCAAGATCGGCAGTAATTCAGAACTGTAGAACTACTGAAACCTCACTAACAGGACCCTCAGAGCATGCGGCACATTGCGGACCCTGGGGTGGTATTGGGTGGCTGTCCTCCATTCAACGGTACAGAGGCATTTGGGATGCTGGGTATGGCTTCTCTCCTTGTCTCCTATTTTCCCCAAGATACAGGAAGGCAGAAAAGAATGTGGAAATGGTGATTTCACTCACCTTCCTGTAGCCCTTGACCCTTACCACCCTAATCAACTATATAAAAATCATCAAAATTAAAAATAATTCATAATTTGAAAAAAGAACATTGACTGCCCAGGGAGTGCAGAGTTCCTGACTTACACAGGACTGTTCCCCTCAGCATATCCCTGCAGACCCACAAGCATGCACATGTGTGTGCTGGCACATTCTCCCTAGTTGGAATGTCAAGGAGTCCTGGGAAAGTATCTGGGAGGAAGTGAACCACATATTCCTGGCCCAAATAAAGTATCCCTAAAATAAATCCACTCTGCCCTCTGCCTAGGGGTGAAGGAATGTGACAATGCTGCTGCCCATGCACAAGAATCAAATCACCGTATAAAATGAACACATTGTTTAGCACCAAATTTTACTTACTTAGTTACCACTACCACTTAACATTTTCTTTTTAAAGGTATTATGGAACTTGATCACTTTTAACATTTGTTGTACTATGTTTGAGGTTTGCCAATTAAAAGGACAGAAGGAATTATTTTAAAACTAGTGCTAGGTAGTGGATCTATAACTCAAAAAGTTGCTGAGCAAGGCGGAAGGCACAGTAAGATTTGAAGAGGAATCTCGCTTGCTAGATCTCTGAAAGTGCCACCTTCGTTGCTCAGTCGGGCAGTGCTGCAGCCGACTTCTTACAAAATAGCAAGTTGTTTATTTTGAAGAGTATATGGTCCATTTTTTTTTTCGCAGAGAAATAGAATCAGCATTCTTTCCTCCACCCGACTTTGGTGGGTGAAAGTGTTCTGATGACAGTCATTCACTATTCCTTTATTATAATTGACTCCATTCCTTTTTATTTGGAAGTGTCTGTGTGGGTTATGAAACGAGTCTGAACAGTAGTAACAATGGCCCAAATTACTTTTTATTTTTCAAATTCAGTCCAAAGTGAAAAAATAAAATGTTCCTCCAAAACTGTTCTCAATATTCATATTTTGCAATTAGAGTATGAGTATTCTTTGAAAAATTATTATGTTGCTGGTTTCTAAGCCTGAGAAAATAAAGACATAGTACAGCCCAAAACAAAACAAAAAATGGACTCTGAAATTAGACTTTGTGGCTTACAAATGTCAGCTTCATCACTTAATAAGTGATAAAGTGACATTTTCTTGCTTTTTTCCCATCTATAAAGTGAAAATAATACCTATGTCGTATAATGGTTGAGAAAATTAAATGAGACAGTTTACGTTAAGATTTCAATCCTTTGCTCTAAATAAATACCAGTTACTTTGGTTAAAGTTTAAGTCCTTCTTATTGCTGCTTCTCTTTTCATGAAGTAAACTGACAATTGTCAGGTTTTCAGAGATACCTGTTATCTCACAGCTGCAGTAAGCAACTACCTTGGTGCCTGTGCCAAGAAAGTTTGAACTCTACTATCTTACTTCCCTGCTGTTGGCTTCACATCTCTGTTGACATTTGTCAGTTGGTGATTTGCCTTCTGTTGCAGAAGAAGGCAACAGATGAGTCCTCGAATATGGGTGAGTGATCCTTGCTTCAATGCCTTCATCTTGCTTGAATGTGGAGGCCACATGGATCACAAGCTCCAAAGACTGTAGGATACCTTTTCTCAAAAGAACTGCACCATCACTGACAGTTAACCACTAGTTCTCCAGCATGTCAGCGCTCAGTGGAATTGCTGAAGGTTGTGTTTCCATGGATGTAGAAAAGTTTTGCTGAATCAAATATAACCATGGAAATGATTTTGAATTATTTTGGTACACCCTGCAAGAGAAGTTATTTTGCAATGACAAAATTTCACTTCTGGATTTCTGACACATCCTCAGACCTTAAGGTTATAACTCTTTCCATCAAGTTTTGGTTCTAGATCACCCACAGACTAGTTAAGGAACTAGTTATAAAATTATCATAGGTTTAAATGGTAATATTTTTTATATTCATTGCTATTTTCATTTAATAGAGGGAATCCAAAGTTGTATACTTTCTAGTTTGTTACAAACAGTGGTTTTCTTGGATAAATTTGGGTTGTTGCTTAGCACCATTATTTCCTCCAGAAGGCCCCACAATCCAAAATATATTGTTATCCCATCACAAAGATAAATAACGAGTTTCCACTTAGTAAAAATAAATCTCTCCCTTTTGTATTTTTGAAGAACATTGATAGTGTTTACAGTGGTATTAGCATCCTGTTTTTCTCTGAAACTGGAAAAATCTCTTTGAGCAGTTGGGTCTTTCTGACAATTATTTAGCTGACTTTAAAGCTATTAGGGTCAGGCCCAGTGCAGTGCCCTAGCAGCTAAAGTCCTCTCCTTGAATATGCCAGGATGCCATATGGGTGCCTGTTCTAATCCTGTCTGCTCCACTTCCCATCCAGCGCCCTGCTTCTGGCCTGGGAAAGCAGTCAAGGAGAGCCCAAAGCCTTGAGACCCTGCACCCACATGGGAGATCCAGATGAGCTCCTGGCTCCTAGCTTCAGATTGGCTCAGCCAATTTGAAATGGCTCCAGCCATGTCAGCTTCTTGGGGAGTGAATCACTGGAAGCACGATCTTCCTTTCTGTTTCTCCTCCTCTCTCTGTATATCTGACATTGCAATAAAAAAAAATAGTTAAAACTCTAAAGCTATTAGTGTCTCCTTAGTCCAAAAAAATAGAATACTTTAAGAACAGAAGTTCTAGGTTTTTAAAAAATATTTCTCTATGAGGAAGACAATTTTCATTTGTCCATTTTTGTGTTGCCTCAACAGATCATGCGTGAATTGATTTATCTTTCGGTTTTTGCTCAGTTTTGTCATAGCAAAAATCCATCTTGCTTGGATTAAGTTGCTTTGGCTATATTAACATACCAGTAGATATTAAAACCCAGACATTATTTAAGTCAGAAAAGCCCGATAGATATCTATGGATTCCCAGACTTGGTTGCAATCACTTCCTAAACAGGACAGTTCACACTTTAAATGGTTGCAACCATTATAGCTCCATAGCAACATTTTTATTATTCCATCTTACCCATCCTGTTTGACTTCCTGTACTACTTACTCGGATTATATACACTCAAAGATAAAAGGCAGGTGCTGCTACATAACCCATTAATTAATTAATTAATTAATACCTTAAGTGCAGGTGTTATGGTAAAAATATTCATCTCGGGCCCGGCGCGGTGGCGCAAGTGGTTAAAGGTCCTCGCCTTGAACGCCCGGGATCCCATATGGGCACCGGTTCTAATCCCAGCAGCCCCGCTTCCCTTCCAGCTCCCTGCCTGTGGCCTGGGAAAGCAGTCAAGGACGGCCCAAAGCTTTGGGACCCTGCACCCGCGTGGGAGACCCAGAAGAGGCTCCTGGCTTCGGATCGGCATAGTATCGACCCGTTGCGCTCACTTGGGGAGTGAATCATTGGACGGAAGATCTTCCTCTCTGTCTCTCCTCTCTGTATATCCGCCTTTCCAATAAAAAAATAATAAAAATAAATCTTAAAAAAAAATATTCATCTCATATCTTATAGTAAATGTATTGTCAGCAATTATTTGTTGAAAGGTTCTATGGCTTACTTGTTAAATGAATAAATGAAAATAGAAGCAAGCAAGCAGTATGGGAAGCCAAAATATAGAAATAATATTATTTTGCATTTATACAGTGTAATTATCTCATTTTATCTTCCCAGCTATCCCATGACACTGTAAAGCAATAATTACATTATATTGAGGAAATAGAAATCGAGTAGGAATTTAGATGTCTGACCTAAAGTATTCCAAACCGTATTCAGCAGAACCAGTTCTAGATTGTGATCTATGAAGACAGAGCTATCCTTGTGTTTCTCTTCCTCATACCTACCATATAACTAACATGTCGATATCGGCTTCAAGTTGCATACATTGGATGAATTCATAGAAATAAACTACCAAACCTCATTCAAGGAGAAAAAAAATCTAAACAGACATGTTAATAAGCAAGAAGATTCAGTTAGTGATCAAATACCTCCAAATAACTTTACTGGTAAATTCTACCAGACATCTTTTTAAAGCTTTATTTATTTATTTTTGTTTAGAAGGCAGATTTACACAGAGAGACAGACAGATCTTCTACATGCTGATTCACTCCCAAATGGTCAAGCAACCAGAGCTGAGCCCATCAGAAGCCAGGAGCTCGGAGTTACTTCTAGGTCTTCCACATGGGTGCAGGGACCCAAGTATTTGTGCCATCTGTTTTCCCAGGTCATAAGCAGGGAGCTGGATCAGAAGTGGAGCATCCAGGACTCAAACTGACACCCACATGGGATGCCCATACTGCTAGCGGAGGCTTAGCCTATTACGTCCTGGTGCCTGAGCCCCATGAGACATTTTAAAAAGATAACACTAATCCTTCTCAAATTCTTCCTGTAAATAAAAAGAAGCATGGAATACATTCTAACTCATCTATGACACCACATTACTCAACACAACTAGACAAAGATATGAAACCTACAACCTTTATGACTGTAGATCCAAAAATCTTCATCAAAAGACTAGCAAATTAAATTCAGCAACATATTAAAAGTAATATATTCTATGATCAAGTGGGATTTATCCTAGAATATTACTAATGGTTCAATATCTAAATCAATGTATTACATTACATTGATAGAATAAAGGAAAGAAAAAATATGATTTATCAATGTGGAAAAGCAAAAAAAGCTCAATTTTTTAAATAGGTAGAGTATTAGACATTTTTCTAAAAAAGAAAAATAAAAGACACATGCAGACATGCCAAATGGGACCACAATGAGATACCACTTTGCACCTACTTGCTTGGCTATCATTAAAAAAAAAAGAAGAAGAAAAGAAATAATGTTAGAAAAGATGTGAAGATATTAGAGCCCTCATACAATCCTGCAATGAATATAAAGTGGTATGTTCACTGAGGAAAACAATTTGATAATTCATCAAAAAGCTACACATAAAATTACCTTGGACCCAGCATTTCCATTCCTAGGTATGCATCCCCAAAAATAGAAAATGATATCTTAAACGATTACTTATACATCAGTGTATTAATTTTTCACAATAACTGAAATATAGAAAAACTCATATCTATTAAACATAAACAGATGAACAAAATACAGAATGTACAAGCAGAAGACTATTAAAGCCATAAGAAAGAATGAAGTCATGATACATGTTACAACATAGATAAATGTTGAAGATAGTATGCTAAGTGTAGTAAGCCACATACAAAGAGATATACTGTATGATAATACTTACATGAAATATTTAGAATAGACATTAATAGAGATAATAGGTGATTATTGAACTGGGAGAGAGGAAACAAAAGTTATTTCTTGGTACAGTTTGTAGTATGAAAGTGTTTTGGAAATAGAGGTGATGGTAATTTAACACTGAATATGATTAATGCCATTATAATGTCTATTTACAAATCTGTAAATTGTATATTATTACAGGTTAAATATAGAAAATGGGACCAGAAATGCTTCATATTCTAGACTTGCGGGAATTTTGGAATTTGCACATGTATGAGGTATGTTGAGAATAAGACCAAAATTCAAATATGAAATTTATTCATGTCTCACGTGCACTCAAGGGCTGAAGGTAGTTTTACAGAATGTGTCTACTACAGTTGTGTTTTGATTGCAACCTATCCCATAAGGTCAGGTGTGGAATTTTCTGCTTGGAATTTGCCATGCCACAAGTGTCATCATATTGGTGCTCAGGAATTTTCAAACTTTGAAGTGTTTTTTATTTCAGATGTTTGGGTTTGGGATGCTTGTATACATTTTTTAATCACACATTCACAAACACAGTGAAGAACTGGTTTTACAAGTTGAATACAGTGTTGGGGCTATGAAGTAACTTACCTGCAGGATCAATGTTGAAATAAATTGTTTGCCTCTCAGTTTAGCTTCTTTAACCTAACACATGTTTGTTATGAAACTGTAGCAAGTAGTTCTAATATAACATTGATAAACAGAAAAACTATACTGTGATCAGAAATGATGTTATTTGTATTATCTGGTGGTGTCTAAAGAAAAATAAGTTTCTTTAATGCAAGATAAGATATTAGAAATTTTTTCATTGATTCTGTGGAAATTTAAGGCTTATTTCTAGAAGTTGAGCCACCTTGATTTAGAAAAAACTAACTGTAGTAAACAGAATAGTTGCCCTCATTCTTTCCACATGCAAGTCTCTTGAACCTATGAATGTCATGTGGCAAAAGGGACAGCACAAATGTGATTAAGTTAGAGATCCTGGGATAAAACCTTGCCGTGGTTGACCCTCGGTCATCACATGGATTATTATGAAATAAGTAATAGAAGACTAAAACAAGGATGCCCTGACCAGACTCAAGGAATTTGGGCAGCCTCTAGAAGCTACAGCAGCCAAGGAAACGGACTCCTCTTCTGGCCTTTCAAAAGAAAAGGAGCCTTGCTGACTCATTTTTTTTTCTTTAAAAATGTGCACTTACTTATTTTCATTTACTTGAAATTTAGAGCAAGATTTAGAGCAGGAGAGAGAGAAAGAAAAAAACATTTAGAGCAAGAGAGAGAGAAAGAAAAAAAAAAACAGAGAAAAGAGGCCTTCCATTAGTTGGTTTTCTCCTCAATGCTCATAGCATCCAGAGCTAGGCCATACTGAAACTCAGAACCAGGGGCTTCCTCTGGACACTAACTCATGACCATATGAGATCCTTGCACTTGCAAGGCAAGGATTTAGCCACTGGGCCAACAATAGTCATTTTGATACTGTTTCAGAGTTGGAGATTCATAACCAGGTAATTTGAAAAGAAGATTCTACTTTCTTAAAATTTCTAAGTTACTTTGTATATTTTCTATATTAAAAACTTGTCCATAGTTAACATTACTACTGAGTGTTAGGCATTAATATTATTTGTTGAAGTTTTAATCTTATATTCTGTATGAGTGGAATATTTACTGCAACATATATGTATATAATATATATTTACATCTTGGAAACAGTAGCAAATCTAGAAGACACTGAAGAGACATAAGTACTTAACACTGGCAATTTGTACTTGCTGTCCTATTTTACTTTAGAATACAGTAAATTTTTTTTTAATTTAAGTCTCAAAGAACATTGTTAAATATTTTATGATTCAGAGTATAGATGGGAGATAGCTTAATACACAAAATAAAAACAAAGAATGAGGAATTGAAATTATCTCAATTTATAAATGACATGATTCTCTGCTTAGGAGAATCAAATGACTCAGTCAAATGACTATTGGAACTCATAAGAGACTTTGGCAGGGTAGCAGGATACAAAATTAATGAACACAAATCAGTGCCACTTGTGTACACAAATAAATCCATGGCTGAGAAAGAAATTGTAAGTACAGTCCCTTTTAAAATAGTGGAGAGGAATCTTAAATATCTAGAAATTAATTTAACTAAATATGTGAAAGACCTCTGATGAAAACTATAAAACATTAAAGAAAGAAACAGAAGACATTAAAAGATGGAGAAACATACCATATTCCTGGATTGGCAGAATCAACATCATCAAAATGTCTATATTACTGAAAGTAATATACAGAATCAGTGCAATCCCAATCAAAATCCCAACAACATCCTTTTCAAAAATAGAAAAGAAGATACAGAACTTCACCTGCAAACACAAGAGACCAGAATAGTCAAAACTATCCTTAAGAATAAAAATCAAGGGCCCGGCGCGGTGGCACAGTGGTTAAGGTCCTCGCCTTGAACGCCCGGGATCCCATATGGGCGCCGGTTCTAATCCCGGCAGCCCCGCTTCCCATCCAGCTCCCTGCCTGTGGCCTGGGAAAGCAGTCGAGGATGGCCCAAAGCTTTGGGACCCTGCACCTGCGCGGGAGACCCGGAGGAGACTCCTGGCTTCGGATCGGCATAGCATCGGCCTGTTGCGCTCACTTGGGGAGTGAATCATCGGATGGAAGATCTTCCTCTCTGTCTCTCCTCTCTGTATATCCGCCTTTCCAATAAAAATAAAATAAATCTTTAAAAAAAAAAGAATAAAAATCAAGCTGGAGCAATCACAAGTCTGAACCTCAAGACATACTACAGAGCAGTGGTCACCAAAATAGTCTTGTACTGGTACAGAAACAGATAAAAAGATCAATGAAACAGAATAGAAACACCAGAAGGGAGCCCACACATGTATAATAAACTAATCTTTGACAAGAAAACTGAAAACAATCCAGGGAAACATCCTGGTCTCTTCAATAAATGCTGTGGACACAATTGGATAGCAGCTTGAAGAAGTGAGAAGCAAGACCCACACCTGTCACCTTATACAAAGACAGCCCTAAATGGATTAAGGACCTAAATCTACACCCAGAAGCCATCAAACTATTAAAGGAAAATATAGGAAGCATTCTCCAAGATATAGGAATGTGGAAAGACTTCTTGGAAAAGACACCAAAACACAGGCAAAGACAAAAAACAAATGGGACTACATCAAACTAAAAAGCTTCTGTACAGCAAAGAAAACTGTTAACAAAGTGAAGAAGCAAGCAACAGAATGGGAGAAAATATTTGCACACTACACAACTAATTGGGGACTAATACCCAGGATTTACAAATAGCTTCAGAAACACAAGGACAATAAAAATAAACAAAAACCATGTGAAGAAATGGGTGAAGGAAATAAATATTTTCCAAAAGAACAAATTCAAATGGCTAATAAACGTAACAAAAGATGCTCAAGCTTCCTAGTCACCAGTGAGATACAAATGAAAACCATACTGAGCTTCTGCCTAACTCCAGTGAGATTTGGAACTCTACTAATAACAAGTGCTGCGTGGATGTGGGGAGAAAGGTACCATCCTTCGCTGCTGTTGGGAGTGTAGGCCTGCACAGTCACTATGGAAATCAGGATGAAGACTGCTTAGAGAATTGCAAATAAACCTGCCATATGACCCAGCTATCCCACTCCTTGGAATATATCCAAAGAAAATGAAAACCGCATCATATGAGAAGGGGATTTGTAAGCCTATATTTATAGCAGTAGAATCTGCAATAGCAAAGACATGGAAATAATCCAGATGCTCGTCCAAAGAGAAGTTGTTAAAGAAACCTTGGTACATTTACTCCATGGAATATTACTGAGCCATTACAAAAATGAAATCATGCCATTTCCAACTGGATGATCCCAACTAGAGGTCATTATGCTCAGTGAAATAAGCCAATCCCAAAAGGACAAATACCATATGTTCTCTCTAATACAAAGCAGCCTTCATGCAAACTGTGTGCTCAGTAACCCTTTCCATACTGCTTTTGCTGTATCCCAAGTGTTTTGATGTTTTTGTTTTCATTTTCATTTCTTCCAAATAGTTTCTTTTCTCTTGTCAAATTCATCACTGGCTCATGATTGTGCAATGGCATCATTTTACCCAAGAGGCTTTTGTGTTTTCTTTTCTTCACCCATGTGTTGGTTATTCAGTGGCATATTTTTCAACTTCATGGTGCTGTAATTTTTTGTTTTATCTTCATGCCTGTTGCTAACTGTGTTTTGTGGCTCCTCATTGAAAGAAAATTCTAGTTATGGCATAGTAGAGATTATCATATTCAGATGTGAAGATACAATACAGTATGCATCCCTACTTCCAAAGAGGGACTCCCAATGAAACTGTCAGACATGTCTAGACAATAGGATGCTAAATGTCAGGGCACACTTTACTAACAGACTGATGGACTTATGACTGCTTATGACGGACTATACTATTGTAATAATATGAGGAAAATCAGTTGGGGAATGGGAACCAGGGGCGGGGGGATGGAATCCCAAGCCTTATGGAATTGTACCATAAAATTCAAAATAAAAATAAATAAATAAATGTCCAAAACAAAACCAAAAATGTTTCTTGATTCTTAACGTTTGGACTGACGACTGTGATATAATTTCTGCCCTCAAACCAAACACCCATGGTAAGTTATCTATGCTTAACATGAGCAGTAACTGAAGCACTTAGGGTTAAGCACTTAGATGTCATAGAACAGAAGAGGTAAGGAAAGTATAAAGTGATAAGGTGCCAGCCAGTTCAGTGTGGCTAAATTAGATAGTACAATACTGACAGCAAAAGCTTGTCAGAACAGAAGGGTGCCAAATAACAGATAACTGTGAGCCCATGTTACCCAACCTCCTAAGATAAAAACACTAGGTTTTTATCCATAATGAAAATACATTCTTATGAGAAATTAAACACTAAATAGTCATGTAAATTGTTTTGTTCATTTGTTTATTCTACAGTTATTTACTGGGTGGCTCCTTGGTAGTTTTAGGGTTTCAGAATTAACCCAAAGCAAATTTGTAAAGTGGGATATTTGATTTCAGTCGCTTCATCATATTCTACCTATGTTCTTTCTTCAGTCTCAGACTTCCCTTTTTTTATTAGGGTTTGGAAATTAGAAAATATCAACATAAAGACTTCAGTGGTAGGGATGGCATGGCTGTTTAGAATCAAATATTGTGTTTGGAGGGGAGAGTGAAGGCATGTTCGGGAAAGAAATGATACCAAACAGTTTA